CGAGGAGCTCGTCAAACGTGAGTCGGTGCCGCCGCGGCCCCCGCGAGGGCGGAACGAGGGGACTCGGCCTGCCCGCGCCCGCTGGAAGCGGCCTGGCAGCGGCTCCTCCCCCCAGCCCGGGCCCTTAGGGTGGTTGTGCTCCCGCCAGGGTCCCAGTCCTCCGTTCAGTATCCTTGTTCCTCTCTCAGGGCTCAGTCCTTCCGTCAGGATCGCTGTCCCTCGCCAGCAGGGTCCCAATTCTCCCTTCAGGTTTCAATCGGCACTTTAGGAGATCAATCCTCCCCTCAGGATCGCTGCCATCCCCTCAGGGTCCCAGTGCTCTCGTCGTGGCGGCTGAGCCCCCCCTCAGAGTCACAGTTCTACCCTCAGGGTCTCAAAACCACTCCTCAGAGTCCCAGTTGCCCCCTCAGGGTCTCAAATCCACCCCTCAGGGTCCCAGTTGCCCCCTCAGGNGTCCCAGTTGCCCCCTCAGGGTCTCAAATCCACCCCTCAGGGTCCCAGTTGCCCCCTCAGGTCTCAGATCCACCTCTCGGGGGTTCCATCCTCCCCTCAGGGTCTCGATCCTCCCCCCAGCCCCAGGGCTGCCACCCAGTCCCCTGCAGCCCGTGTCAGGGACCTCCTTAGTGCTTCAAGGAAATAATTCATTGAACAGGGATGGTCTGGAGCCCTAGGTTGTGGTTTGTCCACTCTGACACCCAGGGTAAAGGAAGCCCCATGTCCCAAAATACTCTTTTACCCCCTTCTGTGGGAATAAGCTATTGTGAGTTATACCTGGACAATTTGAGAATTACCTTAACCAATTCTTGTTTCTCTGGGACGCATCAGTGGTCCCTGGAACAAGAGGGGGACTCCAAAGCAACCCCAGTGGCTCAGGATTATGGGCAAGGGAAAACCAGGAGCAAACTAAATACTGTCCCTCTGCTTTCACCTGCCCATTTATGAAGTGAACAGACTGTCTTGGACCTTCAGGATGGTGGAATTTCTAAAATTCCTGCTGGGCCTGGGCTCTTGCATTAGACCATTTGTTGTCCCAGTGCAGAAGCACTAAAAGGGATAACTAAAAAACTCATCTGCTCTGCAGTTGTTAGAATTGCAGATTACAATTCATGTCAAATACGTGGAATTTAGTCTGTAGGAAGTGGTTTTCCTGGAAACCCAGTATTCCTTTTCATGGCTTTAAAAGGGAACATAGGGAGACCTGATAACAGAGAAAACCGTGGTGGGATTTTTGGTAATTCTAAATTCAGAGGGATTCCAAAAAGAAGCTGTTTACATCTTCATGGCTTTCCCATTACAACATCTTAGGACAGCCTTGCTTTTTAGGGAACTCATGAACAGTTTGCTATGCACACTTGAAATGTAGAACTTAGCACCCTCATCCCCTTTTCTGGATTTATTTTCATCTTTTCCTGAGCAGGGTCTTACTTAGGACCTCACAAACACAGGGCTGCCCCCAGGAACTGGCTCCCTCCATCTCATTAAACCACATTTTGAGACAAAAACAACAGTACAAAGCCTGCAGTCAAAAGCTTCTCTGTCAACTGAGTTGATACTGAATTATTTAAGGATTCCACAGCAAAGAATATAATTATTGGGTTTTGCTTATTTTTGAGGAAAATAAGCAAATGGGAAGGTTCAAGGTTCCTGTAGGTTTCCTTTGATTTTTTAACTTTAATTTCCCCATGAAAAACAAAAAAAAAAGAATGAGTAGAAAGCTTCATAGAAATGTTACTTAATCTGAGAAAGTCTTAAATTTAAACTTCAGATTTTTTTAAAATAGTACTCACTTTGAAATGTCTCAGCTTCCACCAAACTGGAGTCTTACTGCTTTCTCTGGGTGTCCTTGATTGGGTTTCTTCACAAAGATATTAAAATCTTCCTGAAAGAAACAAGATGATTTACTAAAATACCATTTGAATTTTAAGTGTCTGTTTTGTTTAACAAGTGAATTTAAATCAGATCCATCCAGCAGAACGTTGTAAAACATCCAAGGACATACTGGTGGGGACAGGGCTGGGCTGAAGGGTTTTGGTGGGGTCAAACAGCCTGTCAGAACCTTCCAGGCTAATTCCAAGTCTTTTCCCAGTAGGAAATGACTTGAGGATGAAGAAAGTGTTATGGTATATTTGCTGGATATATTTTTATTTGTTCAGGTTTCTGTAGGATGCTCTGAATGCTTTAATTCATTGGGTGTCGTGGCAAAACAAAACTATTTCAAATGAACATAGATCTGTGTCTTATTGTGATATATTTATCACAAATTAAAACAGCAAATAAGATTGTTTCAGTTTTAAAAACGCTGACCAACAGATAAATCCTGCCTGATGTAATTGTTTTCCCTTCTTTCCCTTCCCTTTTTTGACTGTTTACCACTCCCCTCCTCCCCTACAGCACATTTGGGGTCTCTTTCCTCCTTGGTGTAGTTTTTAGGAGTATTTTTTATGGTTTATTCCACCAGGTGGCTCTCAAGGCCCAGAATGTGGGAACTACTTGGAATACCTGACAACTCTTGAGGATTTGGGATCATTTAGGGCATTGTAGGAGGCTGATTTGTGTTCTTACAGCATGGATTCAGTCTGAAAAACACCAGGAAGAGTGATCAATACCTTAACCCCTTTGGAAAGGAAAACACCCTGCAAAAAGTAGTTATGATTATTCCAAAAAATATTACTATTTAACACCATGTGGTCGAAATGCTTAAAAATATCAGTTGGGTGTCAGAGAACAGGGAAATTGCTGCAAGAGAGCTACACAGGGGTGTTTGATTATTATTGATAATATTGATTATTCAGCTTTCTGAAAAGTTTTTTCTGCTCTCCAGTTCACCTTTTGAAAAAGTATTTGCACTAAGCCTCAGTATTAAAGAAGGGAATGGATGTGAGGTTACAGAGCTTTGCCATGTCTGCTTTGGCCTCCAAGTCACTGTTTCATTTATCTTGTCTATAGGCAAGAATAAGAAATTAAAAGTTAACAAGTTTAAGTCAGTAAAATGGGCAAAGATTTATGTAAATAGCTGAAATTAATTTCCAAAGGCATCGATCAGGATTAGTGTCCACTTCATTAAAAATTATAGATAGATCCACTCACCTGTGAGTGAAGGAGGACACAAGTAATGCACTAACTGAAAATCTAAGCTGACTGCCTGGAAGTAAAACAACTCCCAATATTTCTTAGAAGACTCTGAACTCTAAATCACATTTTTGAGTGACACCAAGCAACTTTCCTGAGTGCCACGAGCTTTTCCACGAGTGTTTTTAGCGATGCCTCTGGAGTGTATTTGCATTCCTGTCACCCAGAGCAGCCTCTTCCCTCTCCCAAAAGGGGAGCTGGAGAGCCCAGCCCAGCAGGCCCTGCTCCTCTTGTGGTCAGAGTGACTCACTTGGTTTTCCAGGCTCTTTGGATGGCAAACCACTGACACTTTCAGTGGCTGAGGAGTTTAATATTAAAAAGGAGTCACTCCCTCCTAAGCCACTCACGAGAGATAAGTTGGACAAGCCACCTCCTTTTGCCATATTCATTTTCTAGGAGATTATTCTGTATCCAAACAGAACTTCATGGGGTTATTCTGATCAATATTCCTTAGATTGGATACCAAACTATCGTGGCTGAATTTCCTTTTTTCACTAAAATACATTTTGTTCCAGAAAGAAATTTTTGAAATGCAGAGGTGGTAAATATGACACCTAAAACTAGTTTCTGCATAGAATGAGAACTCAGTTGGAGTTGCAGTATATATTTCTCTTGTAGTCTCTGCTTGTTTGCTCTAAAGGCCAAAACCTAATTGTTTTAAGCAACTTTTGTGGGAGAAAACCCCTCCCAAGCTGTTGAGTTTCCTGCCAGGCTGTTCTGCAGTAATTTGTTACAACTCTGAGTGCAGGCTGGGGCCACAGCAAATCTGAATCCTTTCAGCAAGTTCCTGAAGCCCTTTTGAGTTTAGTGTGCAACATCCATTTTTACTGAGAGAGAAATTTCACAGGGAATTGGCAAAATCTTTGGCTGCAGGATGGGTCATCAGCAGCACAATGGGATGAAAGAAAACTGCTTAAAGTACAGGAACAAGGAGCAGGTAATAGGAAATGGGCCATGTCCTCATGCTGGCAGTACTTTGAGGCCTAAATTTGCCCATGAACTCTTCTGCAAGTTAAAAAAAAAAAAAAAATCACTTACAAAGCAAATGTAAAAACCAATTGCTCTGAAAACTCTTGGCATCCCAAGTAAAAAAAATAAAATAAAAAAAAAATAATCAAACTTTAACCTGGAAAAAGCACATTTTTCTTCACAAACCCAGAGAGGAGATTCCTGTTTCATCCTCTTCAGTAGGAAATGGCTCCAGGGTTCTGTGTCTGAGGTGGAATTTCTCCCTCAGGTTCCATCTCCTCCTCACTGCTGCAAATAATCCTGGTTCAGAGCTCCCCTCTCCCTGCCCTGTTCACTGTGTTCATTCAGCACACCAGACTTTGCAGTTAGTTGCAAAAATCATTGAACCTTTCTATGGCAACCTTGGCAACAGGCTTTTCCTGCCTTTTTATTGGTAAGATACAGATAAATTCAAATTCATGGTCCAGACTATTTGGGGAACAGCCTGTTCTTACAGCTCCAGGAACTGCCTCTCAGTACCTTAAAATACAACCTTTAAGATCCTTGAAAAGCTGTGTACTTTATTTCTTTAACTCCTCTGATGCCCCAGGCAATTCTGAATGACTCAGGCCATTTTATAAATAATTGACCTGTGTTTTCAGGTGACCTCGAGTTCATCCAGCTCCAACAAGGTATTCTGCCCTTTCCCTGGAGGTATGGAGGGATGCTCTGCTGCAAACTCTAATCCCACTCCATGAGGTGCCAGGAGTGTGCACTGGGAAGGTTCCTACCTGGAAGGGCAGTGTTTAACATCATCTTATCAAACACTGCCTGGGATTTTAATTGTTGAACTCCTACGTGGAATTTAATGGGAATTACAACCAAATTGTAGTAACTGGGTTCGTTTTCTCATTAGTTACCTTCAGGTTGTGGTCACAGTCAAACAGTTCTTTACATCTGAATGACTGTGTGAAGGTTGTTTCTGCTGTAACAGAGTCGAGGTGTTCTCTCCATACATCCTGTCTACAGGCAGTGAGTTTAACACTTTAAAAAGGCATTTCCAGGGGAAAAAAAAGGCTTTCCAGAGAGCTGCTGTACCATGTCTTACTTTGAAAACTAGAAAGCAAATTCTTTTGAAAGCTAAGTATTAAAATCTAGGACAGAGTAACAAATTGAGTTGAATTTGTAGAGATCTTGAATACAGGCTGGTTTATTATAGCAAGTGAAGTGGGCACTGTACTCTCCTTCATCACCCTTCTCTTTCCTTTTCTCTTCCACAGGTATCACAGGGAAAGATGACCTGACTGTGGGTGCAATTACGAGTGGCAGAGTGAATTTTTACCCCTGGACAATCGATAACAAGTATTATTCTGCAGATATCCATCTCTGTGTGGTCCCAAACACGTTCCACGTCACCGGAGAAATCGCCGAGTCCGTGCAGGCGTTCGTGGTGTACTTTGACAGCACAACAGTGAGACTCTTCTGCTTCCTTTTCTTGCTTTATCTGTGTGATGGAGCTGCCTTAGCACACTGATAACCATAAATGAGATTCTCCCTCTTGTGCCATCCCTTCCCTCCAGGCTGTGCTATTAATTGTCAGGAGATCCATGTTAAATTATGCCTGCTAACAATAGCAGCAGTTCCCTCCCCTTTTACTACTCTACTCCAACTGGAAGAGAGGTTTTTAAGATACAAATATGCCACTAAGTTAGGCAAATCCTCTTCCAGCAGTGATGCTGCTTTGGAAAGGCTCCTTTAGGAGAGCCAAAAATGAGGGAGCTAAATGTAAGATTCAGTGCATTTTATCCAAAATTGTTGCTACTAAGCTGCAAGGCAGCAATGGAAACAGTGCTTTAGCAGGAGCCAGAAAGACTGAGACAGAAAAAGCACATTTCCTTGCTTCATTTTGTTCTAATACTATTAAAAACTCAAGTATTTGAGGATGTATTCCAAAGAATTCCTTTTTTTCCCCTCCTGTCTTTAGAAAACTGGGCTGGAAAGTGTCTCTGAGTGGCTGCCCCTGACAGAAGAGTGGCTGCCAGAGGTGCTGATCCTGGTGTGCAACAGAGTGTCTGAGAACGGTATGAACCCCCCAGAACTCCCCCACTGACAGAGTCATTAACCCTGCAGGATAATTCACTAATTCAGTCAGTTATTGCTCAGAATATCTGGGTGCAAGTGGCCCTGAGATGTGCTGAACAGCCAAGAGACTCGGGAGCAGGGACAGAAACCATCAGCGAGTTGTGGTTAAAGCTGAATCAGAACTGTGCCAGCCTGCTCAGAGTGAGCTCTGGGTGCCCTGCCACTGCCAGGAGAAAAGGCCTTCACACTGCTGGATCTGCATGATCCTGGGGGAGGCTGTTGGTTGCTTAATTCCAGTGGAAAGGACTTTTTTTTGACCATTTGGCCATTAAACACAACAGTGAGCTTGGAGGTGCAGATGTGTCCCTGCAGCTTAACTCACTATCAACCCCAGAGTTAATGGAAGTCTTCTTTCACTGTAGCACCTCACTTACATTTTCCTTTGAGTACCTTCCAAAGCCATTTAACTTCATGGCATTTCAAATAAACCCCCAAAACAATTCCAAGGAGGAGTTTAACTCTGCAGCTTTTGGAATCCCAAGTGAATGAAGGACCACAGCAGCTATAACAACACTTTTCCCCCATACAATCCAAAATAAGCAAACAACCTTGAGTGAATAAAACACAGCTAAATATTCAACTGCTGATACTGCTCTCAAATCTGTATGTTTAATACCCATTTTTGCTTCCCAATTTAGGTGTAAACAGACAGAAAGCTCAAGAATGGTGCATCAAACATGGCTTTGAGCTGGTAGAACTTAACCCTGAGGAGCTGCCTGACGAAGATGGTAAGACTGCCACTTCTCTTGTCATTTTGAGAATGAAAAAACACCCCAAAATAACTTCTAAAAGTTATGCCCCTTACAATTGTTGATGTGCCACATGATTACAGCATGGAATGCTCCCAGTTGGTGGGGCTTAGTCTCAGCTATAAAAGGTCAGGAGGAGGAGGAGGAGGTTATTTCCTCTGAGAAATTCCATTTGTCTCCTCCCAAATACAGCTGCTGTTTATGTAGCACCTCCATAAAAATAATAATATCTGCTCCTTTCTCTGGCACTGAACCCTAGGGCTGTATTGATACATTAGGAGCATTTATATTCCACTTGGAAAATAAATTCCACTTGGAAAATAAATCTAAAACAAAAGAACAAGAGATGCACGAGGGCAGGAAAACTCTTTGTTGCTTTAAAAAGAAACTTAAACTACTGTAACTACCGAGAGAAGATAGACATTATTCAAACAGTGACACCATGGCCTGAAGAGGGGAGGTTATTAAAAACATTTTAGAACAACATGCAGGGTTACACAGGAAATAAACCAGTTTCAGAATCACTGGCTGCCCATACGTTTGTAACTCAAAGAAAAAAAAAAAAGGCAAAAAAAAAGTCAGAAGTGTGATGTTCCACTCCTGAAGAGTGACTGTGCACTTCCTGAGAGCCTTAGCAGCATCAGCCTTATCTCCTCACTTCAGTGATGCAAAAAAGTGTTTCCATCTTACCCCTACAGAGCCAAAACAAGAGAAGTGACTGCACTGCCAGGCTGGAGTGCAGGCAGTCACTAACATTTCAGGTTCATCAAGAAGAATCCAGTGTAAAATCCTCAGCTAGAGCACAAGTCCCACCCCTTTCCCCCTTTAAAGGCTCGGTAAATTGTATCTTGAGTAGCTGAGAACTCTCCTTCTCTCCTCACCGTGCCTTTAAAGTGCTTTCTTTTTGTTTGGTCAAAGAGGAAGGGATGCACATGTTTCTGATTCCCAGAAACCAGAAAAATCACAAGTGAAGACCCTTGAATGCTTGGAAAGGAAATATTAGTAACATTACATTGAGTTATTTTTCTGTTGAATAACTCTTTTAAAGAACAAGCTGTTTACCATTTACATAATATAAACAATAGGAGTAACAACGACTCAGGATGTTAATTTTGGGAATATTAAGATCCATGTTCTTCCCTAGATTTTTAAATGGTAGCTGATTCACTGTGACTCATGCAGAGGAGGAACTGTGTTCCAGTGAGTAACTTATTTACCCCATAAACATGCTGTGTGAATTACAAAAGGCACAACAGATGCAGTAAACACTCTGGGCCAGTATCTGCTCAAAATTCTGACATTTCTGGCAGCTCATCACAAAAGAGCTTTTGCTGTGACTCACTGACACTCAGCCAGGACAAGAGCTCCAAACTGAGACTTTGATAATGACTCTGATATAAAACCAAACAGCAGCATCACAGAGGGCAAAACATTTGATCTAAGGGGTCAGAGAGAGAGCTTTAAATTCCTTTTTAAAGGCAGTTTCAATTACTGCACCTGTCCCTGAGTCACTGGGGTTTGATTTCTAAACAATCACATTTTTGTAACCAAAGAATTGTTTGGGTGGGTTTTTTTTTTCCATTTGTGAACCTGCACAAACATGGGAAGCTGACTAAACTGAGGAAATGGGAAAACTGACTTTGTCCCAAGTGGTGTCAGATCTATTCAGTAAATAAGTTCAAATCTGAATAATGCTTTCCCTCGTCTTTCAGGTTCCTGTAATTCCCAGGATTACTGGAACATTCCGAGATAGATATTGTGGAGACAACTTTACAATAATCAATCTCATTTCTAACAAGCATCACACCTTTTTTAAATGGTTATCTCAACTTCTTTACTTTCTAAAGGAAGGAAGAGTAATGCTAATAACCTATTTTTATGCCCCACAGCATTAATTCTAATATCTATTTTTATGCCACACAGCACTCTAAAAGATCCTGGGGTAAAAGGTTTTAACAACAACTTAAAAATTGTCTGTCACTATTAAATTTACTCAGATGGTACTTAACAATGTAGATCTGTCCCAAAGGCTGAGAGCTCACAGTTCATTATACCTGGAAGCTCAGACCAAGAAGTGAGGTGTTAATTTAGATTTCTTTGGCCTCTCAGGAAACAAAGGTGAGAAATCTGTGTTTCCTCCCAGAAGCAGCAATTTCTGTGGATTGGGAGAAGATAGGACAGGCCTGCAGCCACACCTCTGCTGGCTTTGGGGCCCCTCATGGTTTGGGTGTGATTTTTAGGAGGGCAATGTCTCTGTTCTGGTTTAGATGATTTCCCCGAGTCCACCGGGGTGAAGCGGATCGTGCAAGCCCTCAATGCCAACGTGTGGTCCAACGTGGTCATGAAGAGCGGTACGTGACAGCTCCCTCCTGCCTGCAGTCTGGGAATCCCACAGGGCTTGGGCTTCCTACCAAAAGTTTAAATTGAGCTACTGCATCACTAGAGAGAGATCTGAGCACCCCTCAACCTTTCCCGGGGAATAAGAGGGTTCAGGGGTTGCTTTCCTTGTCCTTGATGTCCCAGTAAATCTCTCCTGTTGCCTGTGAGTTTATCACAGAATCATGGAATGGTTTGGATTGGAAGGGACCTTAAAATTCACCTCATTGCACCCCCTGCCACAGTCAGGGACACCTTCCACTAGATCAAGTTGCTCCAAGTTCATCCAACTTGGCCTTGGACACTCCCAGGGCTGGGGCAGCCACAGCTTCCCTGGGAAATCCATTCCAGCACCTCCCCACCCTCACTGGGAAGAATTTCTGTGTCAAGATTTACTCCTGTTTCAGCATCTGCTCCTGCTCCCTCTGTGCTTTACCTTGCACCCTGTCAGTAACTGAGTGAAATGTTCCATGGATTCTACAAGTTGCAATGAAAAATGAAAGGTTGTCCCCCCAAACTCTAGCAGGAAATAGTTTGTCATTATCAGGTCTAAAAACTGATACAGGGTTTGGTGTAGAAGAAGTAAAAGGTTAAAGTCCAAATTTGGGATTTATTTTAATTTTTGAAACAGGGAGAATAGCAAGTGCAGAGATGAGATTTGGCAGAGAGGTGATGTCAAATGTTAAAGGATGTACCAAGTGCATTGCAAGAAGGATAGATTTCCCTGCAGAAAACCCCACTTGAGTATGTGGAAACCACAGAATTTCTTTGAAACAGGCAACCTCAGATAATTTCCTGCAGACAAGTGATTATCTGGTATCTAGAATTTTGGGAAAAAAAAAAATCACTTTAGGTTTAGACTCATTAGAAAGGAAATACTGTGGCTGCAAGTGCAGACACTTCCATTTACTTGAAAACCTTTAATTACCTTTCTAACAACACGAGGTGCTGCAGGAAATGTAGGAGGACTAAGCTCTTGGGGAGGGCTTGGCCTCCTGTTTCACAAACCCTTACCCCCCCAGAAACCTTCCAATGTCTGTCTGCTCCCTCCTGTCCCATTTTCTCCTGTTGTGACTTTTAACTGTGAACTGATTTAAAGTGCTGAGAGGCTTCTGCTCCTCCCTGTAGCTGCAAAATAGTTGCTGGGACTCAGTAAAACCAAGATGAGGACTCCCAAACTGATCATATGTTTTATTTTTTTAATGCAGCTTCCTGAGTGTTTCTCATCCTGCATCAGAAATGAGGTTAAGGTGGGGTCTGACTTAGTGTTACCATTGCAGAGAACCAGGTGACCACGGCAGATGGTGCAAACTTATCTCACTTGTGCCAAAAGTGGTTTCTTAGCAGCATATTTCCTGCATTTGGCAGATGCCACCTTACAGAACAGCACAGTTCAGTCACATGTTCAGTTTTTCATGGGGGGGAAATTCCTACACATCACTGCTGTGTTCTGGAAAGGTCAGACTCCTTGAAAATCCAGATTTTCTATCTCCACAAAGCCCACACATCACCACAAACCCCTCAGGAAGTGAGCTATATTTGGAAGGTGCTGCAGCCTGACTGTGCCTTCAAAGGGAAGCTCATTTTACTTAAAATAAAACTTTTTACAACCTGTAACACATCTTTTGTTTTCAGCTTCCTCCAGCTCCTGCAAACTGGCTGCCATGTGAATCAAACTTTAGCTTTTCCACTGAATTACCTACAAGTGCTGCCTGCTTGGAAACCACGCTCTTGTGTTCCATGGGGAGATTTTTCAGAGAGCATAAGATAATTCTAGTAGTAAATGTGTAGTAGCATGTGGTTGTAGCACTGTTAAGTGTAGCTATCCAAAAAAACAGTGTTACAGCATTGCCTTCCTTCAACAACCTGTTCCTGTGACAATTTAAGTTTACAAGCAGAGCAGGAATGACTTTCTTCAAGCATGAGCATTAAACCCATATTATTTTACTGCATTTTATCTTAAGCCCAAACACAATTCTTCTCAAGCTGTAGTTTTTCCACACACCTATTAAAATTTTGACTTTTTTCTCTTAACATTAAATACATCCATTCTCACACAGATTCATAAAAGTAGTTATCCAGTGTAACACAGCTGAATTATAAACAATTTTGCATCAAACAATCCCACCACATGCTTTGTGAGTAAATAAATTATTGAGACAAACAAACAGCCTTACCTGGGGGTCTCCAGAGGGCAATTCCTTTTTGGAGCTGGTGTAAAGCTGTTGGTTCTCCAGCCCTCAGAGCTCTCTCACTCTGAGAAGGAGGAGGTTTTCTCCCCCTTGTGCAGAAGGACACAAGTGATTCTCCAGGTAACATATTTCCCTCCCCACAACTGCTGCTGCCTTTATCTGTCCCTCCAAGAGCTTGTGTGGTAGGAAAAGAAGCCATTTCCTGCCCTTTGGAAGAGGAGCTTGGCTTGTTCCCTGCTTAAATCCCTCCCTCCTGAGCCCAGGTGAAGGTGGTTCCCTCAGGTGGGGCCAATTATCTTGCTCTAGGGAGAACTTTTAAACTTAGTTATTTAAACTTGGGTTGGAAGGGACCTTAAAACTCATCCAGTGCCACCCCCTGCCATGGGCAGGGACACTTCCCACTAGCCCAGGTTGCTCCAAGCTGGCCTTGGACACTTCCAGGGATCCAGGGGCAGCCACAGCTTCTCTGGACAACCCAGGTCCACCATAACCACTGATTATTACAATAAGTTGGATGAGCTAATTTTTGGCTTGGCTGCCCTAAGAACACTGTGTAAGGCATCACCCACTTCCTTAATTGCACCCAGAAGTTGGAATAACTTTTAGATCCAATAAAAAGGGTTTATGGAAGGCTCTTTTCAAGGGTGTGCCTGCAACCGAGTGTTATGTCTGCCACCTCCCTAACCACGCAGCCAGAGACAAATAGCTGCTGTCCAGAGAGCCCTGCTGGAGATTCCAGGTTTTTCTGAAAGGGATGACATCTGTAATTGTTCTGGCTGAGGCTCTGTAGTGTTGGAGGAGGGGATGTGGAGCAGGGAGCCCCTGTCATTTTTCTGGACAGGACAAACTAATCCCAGATAGGAATGAGGTCCATGATTAGATCACTCCGTCCAGCCCTCTGCCAATGTGGGAATGTTCTCTCTCCAGTACACTCTGGCCTGCAGTGTCCAACCCCACTTGAGATGACTCAGAAATTGGCTGAATGTCCATCTTTACAGCTTCCCAAAAGACAGCCCAATGAAACCTGGGGAAGCTGCTTTGCTTTGGGATACAAGTCCTGGTGTTTTATCCCTCAATTCCTGTTAATTTGCTGGCGGACTTCACAGGCTCTCCCATGGCAGCTGGACATTTTTAAGGGAATTCATTTGGCTCCACTGATTCACTTCTTCCCAACCCTTTGGAAGGTGACCTGTTCCAGCAGTAAAAGTGGATAAAGCAGAGCCAGTGGCCCCAGATACCTGCTGGGGAGAGCAGGAGGGAAGGAGAGGCTGGGGCAGGACACACGTGAGCTGCAGGAGCATCCAGCAGGAAAGGAGGTCCCAGGAATGCTCTTGTGGAGACGTGTTTACGTGTTTGCTGGATGGCTGATGGGTTCAGTCACACATCCAAGCCCTCCAAAGGAGAGTCTGGAGAAATGGCAGGGAAATTTGGACAGTGCATCAAAATGACATCAGCTCAACAGTTGAGTCTAGAGCTTAGTCATGAGTGTAATCATTTAGAACACATTTATTTTCAAAAGTAATATTAAATCTTTCTTTTGGCACCATTCATTGTTTCCTGGCTATTTCTAGTACAATAACTTCACATTTCAGTTTTAGTTGACTAAAATACAAAGATTTGCAGAAAAATCTCCTGAGTCCCTTGTGTAACTGCAAACATTTACTACTCAGTGCAAGGCCAGCTTGTATGGAGGAGTAAACTGTGACTTAGAAAAGCATGACTTGGTATAAAAAACACCTCATAATATCACCTATTATACATATATTTTTATATAAAAGCAATTAAAAATGCAGCTAGTTTAATTTAAAAATACTGTAGCACATCTGTTGTCTTAGCTGACTGTTTAGGTTTAGGTCTGAAGTCACTTTTTAGGTTAGATTTTAAAATCCCATTGAAATACACAGCAGGGCAGCAGCTGTGGAAGGCCCAAAGCACCTCCACAAATTGGATTTGATGGCTGGCTCCTTCCAGGAATTCTGAATTAGATATTTTATAAGTTGCCTTTGCCATTACCATTTAAACAATTTGTGTGTGAGCAAAGGCACTTGTTGCATCTCCTGTATCCAGCCCCAAACTCAGTGCTGCTTCCCATGCAAGTGTCAGGAACACCAAATGCTGCTCCTGGATTTCTCCAGCTGCCTCATTTGGAATCAGGAGCCATTTGCCAGCTCAAATCCTAAAGGAGCAGAGACTTCAAACGAGAATTAAAAAGATCCCACATTTGTGGCTCCCCGTGAGAAACACTCAGCAGTAAATCTTGCTAACAGAGTTTAAAAACCCCTTAGAAAACATGTAAAATTTCTGCTTAAAATATATTTTTAAGGCACTGACACCTTTTCCCTGAAATCCTCTCTGTCCCACCTGGCCAGTTCCAAGTGTTTGTGGTAACTGCAGCTTCTGCTTTGTCTCCAGACAGGACCCAGGGCTTTGGGCTCCTCAGCACCTTGGCGGGTGCGAATCGAAGCGTCGGCCCTGAAGAGACCCAAGAGACAGAAGTAAACAGTAATTCCTGGTTCCTGTCCTTTGCTCAACCTGTCCCTTGTGCTGCCCTTTCCTGTGTCACCCTCAGGGTGGTGGTTGTCACCTCCCCACTGTGCCAATGTGTAAAACAACCCCCAGAGCCAAGGAGAGATCACCAAAAGCTCCATCCAAGATGTTTCTCATTAATCTGTTAGTCCAAGAGCGGCATTTTGGGCAAACCAAAAACTACCATTTCATAATGTTATTTAAAACCATATTCTTTCCTAAGAAACCTCCCTGTTGTACCTGTTGGCAGCCTTGCAGAAGGGGTTTTTCGTGGCACAGCTTTTGCAGTGACAGCTTAAGATGAAGTGTCAGGTTTTGAAGTGAAAACAGGAAGCACTCGATTTGCTGATGGGGTTTTTTGGTTTTTCACACTCAAACACCTGTCTGTTTGTTGACAGTCCAACCCTTCCCCAGCAGACAGAGAAGATTCCCAGGCTGACAGCAGGGAAGATGGAGCTGGGACAAACAACCTGCAGCTGGACAACGCTGCAGGTGAGATCTTGCTCTGCTTGGAGCAGACACACCTGGCTGGGATGGTCCCACAAAGCCACTGGGAAAAGTGAGGATAAATGTACTTGCCAGAGCCAGTCCTTAAATAAGTGCAGCATTCCAGGAGATGGGACTTTCTCACAACTTGTATGTGGAGATCTAAACACAGGGTGTTATCACTTGTGGTCTCAGCACTGTCTCATCAGGCTTTAATTCACTCTGTGGTTGTTCCTAGAGAGATCATTCCAGAATCAGCAGGGAACTTTTACTGGATGAACTCAAAGACACTCTTGCAATGTAATACATCATAAAATCCTGGAATCCTGAAATGGTTTGGGTGGGAAGGGACCTTAAACTCATTCCCACCCATGGCAGGGACACCTCCCACTATCCCAGGTTGCTCCAAGTTCATCCAGCCTGGCCTTGGACACTTCCAGGGATCCAGGGGCAGCCACAGCTTCTCTGGGCAACCTGTGCCAGGGCCTCCCCACCCTCCTAGGGAACAATTCCTTCCATAAAATGCCTGATTTTCCATGTGAACAATCAGTAAATTGTTTGTTTCTCTCCTCTGGGGCTGGAGTTTGCAAATGGGATTTGCAGATGTTAAAATACCGGGTTTTTGCTGATAAACCAGAATAATTTCTCTTCAATCAATCTCTGTTTCAGATCCCATGTTGGACATGGACATCCAGGAGTTGGCCAATCTGACCACGAGAGATGGGGACCTGGAGAACTTCGAAAGGCTGCTCTCAAAGCTGAAAGAAATGAAAGGTAACAGCAGGAGGGAGGTACCTGAGCTCTGGCACCTATTCCAGGGGCTCAGGCATGACAGCCAGAGAGTGAGTTGGGAATTCTGTATGAATTCCTATTCCTGTTTAGTAAAAGTAATTGCTGTTACTAAATGAGATCACTTTTTTATGATCTTGAACTAGTTCCCTAAATCCAGCTGCAGGAGGTGTTCCTGTCCCTGCTCACTGCTGAGGCTCACAACCCAAGTCATTCCTCTCTTCCACAGATAAAGCTGCCACGTTGCCTCATGAACAAAGGAAGCTCCACGCGGAAAAGGTGAGTTTGGGAATCGCTGCTGGAATTACCAACAATGGGGTTTTCCCTTCCTAAGCCATAGCTCCTGCTCCTGGAGGGTTCCTGGGGTGAGAGGAGTAGAAACAAACCACACAGTCCTAGGGACCTGTCAGGTATCTCTCAAGAACTGAGTAACAAACCTGGAATTTTGAAACAC